GCTGGCTGAGGAATTCTGGGAGTTGAAGTCCACGAGTCTTAAAATTGCCAAGGTTGGACACCCCTGGGTTAGAGTATGATGGCCATGGCAATGGGTTCTTATCTTGGTTAAATTTTGGGATTCCAGATGAATCTGTACAATGAATTTAAGTAGTAGAAGTAAAGCATAGTTCACATTGCTAAATGTTCAGGGACAGATGGTGGTTATGAACTGAATCTTTTACTTATGGCATGATTGGGATTCCAGATGTTTAGTTGTTTGTCTTCTGAGCAAAACAGGGCAAAAATCCTTCTTTTATCAAAGATATTTATTGCTACATATATCCATGGATTACAGTCTGCTTCATCAGATGCATTGAGTGGAGACATCCCGGTGCAGACAGTATCTGAAGTAGGCATTTGAATTTATGTGGATTATATTGTCTAAAAGTTCTGGTTCATAGCTTTTCTTATTCTCTTCACTTGACACTTCCTTTCCAACCTAAAACTTTTAAAAGAAATCATTCCTAACCAATTGGTGACATGTGTTCTCAAATTAAGCCATACATGGTTGCTGTCAGTGATTTCAGCTGCTGGAGGTCAACATTTTGAGGGTGACTTTTTCCTCCCCCAGAAGGATTCAGATATTTTAGTTGGGAGCAAGGTCCACTATATATGGGTGGTTCCCAATGGTCTTTTTCTCCCTCATTCCAGCTGACCCAGAAAGGATATTGCTCTGGGCCTTGAAGGGGCAAAAGGTGAGTTGTAACTTGGAACAAATTAGTTCCAAGCACAAGTACAGCCAGTTACTCCAGATTAGGGCCTTTGATTTGCACAACTCAGACTCTACTTGCCCATCCATAATGAGTTGACTCTCCTCAGAATTCCTCACATCAGCTTTCTTTGTTCCGAGGCTCACAAGTCAGCCTATTAATGGGGAAACGAAAAGACCTTGTCTGTAAGAAGTCTTGGGTTCAGAGTCAGAATCATTTGACTTTTAAGCTGCCTTTATCTGAACTCCTGCTGGCTCCTTGTTTTCTGAGCCTACTTGAAAGTGCAAAGTTACATTGTTAACATCAAAAATCTTTCCTTTCAGGATGGAGTTAGAAAAGCTCACTCGTGTGTCTCCATAAAATGTGTGTCTCTGTCATGGCGGGAGGGGGGAATGTATGTATTCTCATTTTAAAATAATTCCATTAACAGCGAGGCAGGCTTCCAGATTCTTGTAAATTGTAACGTGGAACATTTTTTTTCTAAGCGCTTTTCATTTTCGCCCATAGCGATAGGAAAAGCCAAGCTAGGGAAGGTGATTGATATGAATTTTGTGACATATTTGAAAGATCGCTCTTTTGCCACATCAAGATTATCAAACACATGCGCTCATCCCCATTAATTCAGCAGCCTCACTGAGTAGCTTTGAAGTTTCCATGCCTTTGTTTTCAGGTTGTGTTGGCTATTTAAAGCCTATCTTTTGACCTCGTTTCCTCAAATACTAGCAGGTACCACTTAAACAACAAAATCATAAAAGGCTGCTTTGTTGAGTCCACCAGGAGCCTGCTCTTTCAGAGAACAGGATTGTGCATTCCTAAGAAGTAGGTGCTCTCATCCATAAGACGGAGCCTGTTTGGTATAGTGGTTAAGGGATAAGGGTGGAAACTCTGAGTTCTAGTTCTACCTTGGGCATAAAGACAACTGTGTGACCTGGGGCTGGCCAGTTTCTCTCAGCCCCAGAAAGGAGGCAGAGGCCAACCATTTCAGAAAAACCATCAGAAAAACTGCAGGGACTTGGTCCAGGCAGTCTTCAAAAATCAGGCATGACTGAATGGAAGAAAAAATTGGGAGAGAATGGGGTTTATTTACTGAAGTTCTTAATCATTTATATGGCAGACATTTAAAACAAGCCTAGGTGGGAATGAACGAATGATCGAAGGACTGCTATAAATTTCTTCTCTTTTTGATTACAATCACTGATTTTCTTTACAAAATGATTTCCATTCATTCATTAAGATGCTCTATATTCCTTGGTTGTATCAATAAATTATTCAGTTTCTTCCCACTGGCCTCTTGATTTCAAGCTATTGAGCAACTTAAATATTATTTTAGATATTTGTTAGTCCAAATGAAATGTCTACAAGCCCTTCCTAGGGCAGTGGAAGTAGAATTCCTGTATCCTTTGGAAATGCAGTTTATTTAAGGGGGAGAACATGGATCAGCCAAGGAAATTATGTGCCTGCCAGATATGTAGTGTCCCATCTTTAAGTAAGCTGATGTCATATCTTCCTTCCATTATCCAATATGTACAAGCCATAAGTAACTATATTTTTCATGCTATGGCTTTGTCTCAGAATTGTGTTTGTCCTTTTTTCATGTCACTATAATGTTCAACTAACTCCCTGTTCTTGGGGTAGCCTCAAGTAAGCTTGTAATCCATCTGTAGTGTTCTTTTAACTGCTTAGGGTCTACATGTAAGGCTTTCTCCTGCATTTTCTGCCAGAATATATGTGATTTTTGTTTTGAAAGGTTTTTAATTGAATCAAGACATTTTTGCCTGAGATACGATTCCTCTTCTGCTTCTTATTTGTTTCTTGTTGGAACAGAGAAAGCGCAGGGAATCTGCCTCCAGTTCCTCATCTGTCAAGAAGGTGAAGAAGCCATGATTAGCACAATGGTCCAAGTTCAGGATCTTGGAGGACCAAGTTACCGACTGCTGGTGCAAGAAGGATATGTCTCCCCATACGGTAGTAGGGACCATTATGTTGAAGAACTTTGTTTGCCTTTGCTTACATCAGGAAGAAGGGTGTTTACTTCTTTACTGCCCTAGTAAAGAAGAGGCCGAGCGCAAACCCCTGAATTTATTGTTGCTGTGATTTTATTGTATATTTTTCCTATTCCTGTGTTTTATAAACGTTGATGTAAATATAGAATCCGTAATCTTGTTCCAGAATCAGTAGTCATTGAGAGGGAAGGGCAGGAGGATAGACCCCTGTATCAAGGAGTTGGGGTTGCATTTTGTGCTGGAATGGGCATGGGCTGTGTAATTAAAGTTATGGTAGACATGGCATCACATTATCAATGGAGAAAACTGACCCCTGGTTGAGCAGTAATTCCAACTGCCTCCTCCGATTCTCATAAAGTTTGCATATGTTTCTCTGTGGCTTAGCAGGCCAGCTTACAGGATACCCATAACCTAAATCGTTCTCCCAAGGTTTCATCATGTTAAAGAAAACTTATTAATTCAGAGCCACTGCATCTAAATAAGGTATTAAACAAGGGATGTTTACCCCCTTGACAGTTGGGTGAGGCAAATATACATTGCAATAACCATTATTTTTAGAGTCATTCTCTGCTGGACTGAAGGAGACTCCTTTTGCTATTATAGCACATCTGTTGGATTAGTGTGCTAGTAGCTTTAGTAAAACATTGGCTCAGCCATTTCTAACTTCAAGTGGACTGGGATTTCCAATCAGTGTGAAATAATTGTTCTGAAGGATCCTCATAGCACAACCCTTCCTTTTTTATTTAGAAACAAATCCCTCTGTGTTCTGTGTAATATTGAGAAATGTGAAGATCTCATTTTTATTGTAATGCTGTTGATGGCCCAGTTTTCGTTTGAATCATCTGAAAGTGCTGTCTGGTATGGCAGTTGTGTCAGTTCCCCTGAAGTAGCAAGCTAAATAAATGCTGGTTATTTTTTTTTTTCAAAAAAGCATTATTATCCCATAGTTGGGACTAGATTTGGTTGAGATAATTAAGTGAATTAAGTGAATTAAGAGACCTCCAAAGCCAAAAATGTATATAGAATGAGAGGTCCAGTCTACTATTGGTATTTTCTTAGTAGAATAAATTATGCAAAATAGAAAACACCTGTATTTATGCATAATATATAGAGATCAAAGGATTCTAGCTTTGTTACCAACCCAGAATATACTCAGGATATTCTTTGGAAATGGAGGAACTCATGATTGTGTGATTTAGCCCTGCCTTGGCAATATGAAAGTCAAATATTTAGTACTAAACACTAGTCTATGTCCAAAAAGCTAGCTCTCCAACTTGCTGACTCTTTAATGGCTGGATGTCCCTGTTCCTACATAGAAAGCTGCTTCCTCCCCTCCCCTTTTGAATATTCATCTTCTTTCAGATACATGTCAAAAGAGGACTATGACACCCCGGCCTGCAGCTGTCAGGCCTAACTCATGTGCTTGCCTCCTTTTCCCCTCAAGTGCAACTGGGAATCAATAGTGCATGACAACACCCTTTGATTTACATTCTTGCTGGCAGAAAGAAAGGTCAAAGGCCAAGTTCTTAGTTTTCATAGAAAACTAATTAGACTCCATCGACACTGAATCAATAAAACTGATCGGGTGATTCACACAGAGGGAGCCATTAAAATCCCTGTGACCTTTGATCCCGATTCCCTAACCTGAGAAGGAAGAGGCTTGGTTACATTCCCTAGTGCCTTGGAGGGCAGAACCTACACAGTAAAGATGGACTGGTCTGAAGGGGAGGAAACATGGATTCTGCCTGTCACGGGCTCATACGCTACTGCTCTCTTGTGTCTCTATTGGCCAAACCATCTACAGGAATGCTGCCATAGGTGAACTGAAAAACAATAGATTGTGGAGGGGGAAAAGAGAACACAGAGTCTAAGCAATCATTTGATTCTAAGAATTCTAAACATGTATGAAGAATACTGATTCATTATGTTCTTCACACACTTGGTGAAGTTTCCAGTTATCCATTTATCATTATTCTCCAAATCAGATCTCATGTAGCAAGCAACATATGTTTGGCAATTATTCATTGGCCTTCAATGTTTGATTACTTTAAAACCAAATTATGCTTTTAAACACCCTATAGTTCTTGCCTTGGCTGTAAGACATATTGTACATTTCTAAAACTAATGCAAAAAAAATGTGTACAGGTATGTGGACTTACAACTTTAAGCGACCATTTGAAGTTACAATGGCACTGAAAAAAGCAACGTATGACCGTTTTTCCCCACACTTATAACCATTGTAGTATTCCCATGGTCACATGATCAAAATTTGGACACTTGGAAACTGGCATGTAATTATGAATCTCTGGGGGCATGTGATGACCTTTTGCGACCCTCTGACAAGCAAAGTTAATGGGGAAGCCAGATTCCCTTAACAGCTGTGATGCTAACTTAACAACTGCAGTAAGTCAATAACAGTAGCAAGAAAGGTTGTAAAATGGTACGAAACTAGCTTAAGAACAGAAATTTTGGGCTCGATTGTGTTTGTAAGTCAAGGCCTACTTGTATTGTGTATAAACAGTATCAATGACCAGTTACTAGCAGTATATATAATCTTATGCTATTTTTCTTCTATACTTAAAATAGGGAATTTGCTTTCCCATTTCCTGGGGTCCCAGAACCAATATACACTGCTCAAAAAAATAAAGGGAACACTTAAACAACACAATGTAACTCCAAGTCAATCACACTTCTGTGAAATCAAACTGTCCACTTAGGTAGCAACACTGATTGACAATCAATTTCACATGCTGTTGTGCAAATGGAATAGACAACAGGTGGAAAGCATAGGCAGGTAGCAAGACATCCCCAATAAAGGAGTGGTTCTGCAGGTGGTGACCACAGACCACTTCTCAGTTCCTATGCTTTCTGGCTGATGGTTCGGTCACTTTTGAATGCTGGCGGTGCTTTCATTCTAGTGGTAGCATGAGGCGGAGTCAACTCACACAAGTGGCTCAGGTAGTGCAGCTCATCCAGGATGGTACATCAATGCGAACTGTGGCAAGAAGGTTTGCTGTGTCTGTCAGCGTAGTGTCCAAAGCATGGAGGCGCTACCAGGAGACAGGCCAGTACATCAGGAGATGTGGAGAAGGCCGTAGGAGGGCAACAACTCAGCATCAGGACTGCTACCTCCACCTTTGTGCAAGGAGGGACAGGAGGAGCACTGCCAGAGCCCTGCAAAATGACCTCCAGTGGGCAACAAATGTGCATGTGGCTGCTCAAACGGTCAGAAACAGACTCCATGAGGGTCGTATGAGGGCCCGACATCCACAGGTGGAGGTTGTGCTTACAGCCCAACACCATGCAGCACGTTTGGCATTTGCCAGAGAACACCAAGATTGGCAAATCCGCCACTGGCGCCCTGTGCTCTTCACAGATGACAGCAGGTTCACACTGAGCACATGTGACAGACGTGACAGGGTCTGGAGATGCCGTGGAGAACGTTCTGCTGCCTGCAACATCCTCCCGCATGACCGGTTTGGCAGTGGGTCAGTAATGGTGTGGGGTGGAATTTCTTTAGGGGACCGCACAGCCCTCCATGTGCTCGCCAGAGGTAGCCTGACTGCCATTAGGTACCGAGATGAGATCCTCAGACCCCTTGTGAGACCATATGCTGGTGTGGTTGGCCCTGGGTTCCTCCTAATGCACGACAATGCTAGACCTCATGTGGCTTGGAGTGTGTCAGCAGTTCCTGCAAGACGAAGGCATTGATGCTGTGGACTGGCCCACCCCTTCCACAGACCTGAATCCAATTGAGCACATCTGGGACATCATCCACCAATGCCACGTTGCACCACAGACTGTCCAGGAGTTGGGGGATGCTTTAGTCCAGGTGTGGGAGGAGATCCCTCAGGAGACCATCCGCCACCTCATCAGGAGCATGCCCAGGCGTTGTAGGGAGGTCATACAGGCACGTGGAGGCCACACACACTACTGAGCCTCATTTTGACTTGTTTTAAGGACATTACATCAAAGTTGGATCAGCCCGTAGTGTTTTCTTTCCACTTTAATTTTGAGTGTAACTCCATATCCAGACCTCCATAGGTTGCTAAATTTGATTTCTATTGATAATTTTTGTGTGATTTTGTTGTCAACACATTCAACTATGTAATGAACAAAGTATTTAATAAGAATATTTCATTCATTCAGATCTAGGATGTCTTATTTTTGTGTTCCCTTTATTTTTTTGAGCAGTATATATATATACCCCATATTCAAATTATCCCTGGTTGAGGTAGATGAGGTGTAAATATTTGCCAGCTCAAGATTCTCATTTCACACAAAAGCCCTTTAATAATTTAATGTTTTTTTAACTGTTGCCTGATGACTAGGCTTCATACTAGACTCTGGTCTCTTCTCACTACCTATCCCTACTCCCCTTCTTCAAAAGCACAAGTTGGGAGATGAAAGAAGAAGTCTGCTTACAGGAACCTGAATAGTAAAAGGGTAGTAATCCCTTTTCTCAAGTCTCTCCTACTGAAAACTAAGGAAATAGATACTAATCCCTGAAGGCTAAGTATTTGTAAATAATACTGTGAGCGCAAATATACTTGAGAATGAAGCAAATGTATATGCAGAAACTGCCAGCCATTTTGCATTTAAAGAGGCTTTAGAAGGAGGCGGCAATACACCCAATAGGAGATACTGTAGCTGGCAAGGTCACGCCCACACCCTTGCAGCACATAAGAGCCAAGTTCCTTTCCCCCAAACTTTATTCATGTGGCACATTTACAGCAAGGATGAGAGTAACGAGCCAATGAAGAGGTCAGGTTGGGTTCAGCTGGAACATCCACACACCATGCATTATTATTGGGAAGGCCCAGTGCCTGTATCAGCTCACACAGCCGTATTGCTGCATGAGCAGAGCCCTCTTGGTGTGGCTCCCAAGTTGATGGCAGCTGGAGCCTATGCCCCTGGGGGGGGGGTCTATTCAGCAAGGGCCAGGGAAGGGTATTCTGTCAGGAAAACACTGAGCCAGGAGAAGTTGATCTTCCTCCCCCTATACTGACGTAGGGCATTGGGAACTGGAGTAGGCCATATCTCTCAGGCAACACACACTGGTTTCAGCCGTTGTGAAAAGGGAAATTAATCAGATTGTAAAGGAAAAAGAACAGAGATTTCAACCATCATGCAGATTGCTACAGTGTACTGAGGCTGGGAATACAACTCCTTGGCTGGACAAGCAGTATCAGGCATGTCCACTGCCCGCAATGGACTGCATACTAAATGATGGTCATGTGCAAGCACAAAGAAACACTTAAATAGGACCCCTGACATTCTGAGGATGCACCAACAAGAGACCCGGGTGCAAGAAGTGCTGCACATCAGGTGAGCATCAACCAGGATGCTCTAACATGTAATACAGCCCCTGCTGAATGAAATCCCAGGGATATAGGTGGCTTTTGGTGGGCATGGAATACAGGCACTTCACCTTGAACAGAAAGAGCCGAGCTTCCTTAATCACATACAGGAGGAACCAGGGATGGGGCTTAGTGTTTATTTAAATCAGAAAGGGAACGAGCAGAAGGCTGCTGCAGAAAGGGGACTGTCTGGATGCTGCTCAGTCAATATTTAGCTGACACGCAGGGGACACAGTAACAGATTCACACAGGAGAAGAGGGGCTTGACCGCAGCTCTTGAGATAATGTACTCAAAATAAAAGAGGGCAAGTGCCCAGAACATAGCACCACGGTCTTGCTACAGGCGCAATTGTGAGCAAAGAGAGAAAGAGAGAGAGAGAGAGAGAGAGAGAAAGACGCCAATGGGAATCAGAAGCCAACAAAAGGGAAAACAATCTACGTCTCTAACCATGTGGAGCAAGCGCCCTAGCGGGCTGCAGGCTGGACCAGGCCGGGCAGGCAGCTGGCCCTAGAGAGGGAGTCACTTCAGGCCTACACAGAGAATCCAGTTCCATATA